ACATTTTTATACACACAATGGGTGAACGTTCAGGCTATAGTCATCTATGGTTTACGTATAGCCGTTCCTAATTTTGAATTGTGGGCTAGAGGGAAGGTAATCTGTCGCTAGCACCCTCCGCCTGAAGCTTTATTTGTTTATTTCGAAAAATTCGCGAAAAGCTAAACAAGATATATCTGCGCTAGCTGTACCTAATTCTAAACTGAAAGACTAAAGGCAAGGCTTTAGGGCTATTCGCATCGAGTAGTGGGGTTTTACTGTCACTCTTATAACGCATCCAAGCCCCCTCCCCAAACTACGGATCGCGTTTTTGCAATGACAAGAAAGGTAGACTCTCAAATCCCAGAGTCGAATACGCTAACAACTAGGTTACGCTCGTCCTGTTTTTAATTAAAAGTGTTTTTATACTTATTAAATATTTTATACTTAACAGCTTTTCATATCATAATTCCCGTACAAGTTTTCTATTACTTATATATCCAAGAATATTTACTGAATTATTTTTTTTTGTTTCTTTCGTGTGGTCTAATATCATAGGCAAGTATTGTACGTAAACTAATCACGAAATTTGCTGCTTCGTTCTATATTTTTTCCATGATAATTTAATTGAATTTGTCTATTTCTTTCACAACACAGTAGTGTTCTAAATAATTAAACAAACCTAATCTATTCTCGAACTTTTACACTTTGCTGTTCTCTCAGGCTCTCATCTCACCGGCAATAGAGGGGCGCGTCAGTTCGGGTTTGGTGGTCATCGTGAAAGATCGCTTTATGTGACATTTTGCACGTGCATGGGAAAGACGCTGGACATTAAAGGGTCACGCTAAAGCAAAAGCCATTACAATCACAGAGTCTCTGGAGACTTAAAATAAAGCGTGTTTGTATTATTTCAGACCGGTTGTGAGTGATTTGTATTATTCACATGTAAACTCAGGATATGAAAATGTGGATGCATGACAAAACAGAGTTCACAGATTACAAGCCGCTTCCGCTTAGAGTCGTTACGGATCGCAGAATAACTGAACACTCATCACACATCAACTTAATGTTATTGAAAAATAGAATAACTTAAAAATCAGGAAAGCAAAATTCGAGATTTATACGGTATTTTTTAAACTGTTTCAAAGCAATACTTACCGTATTTTTCGGTGTTTAAGACGCACTTTTTTACCCCGAAAATTTGATGTCAAAATCTGCTTGTGTCCTATACACCGAAGTTATGAATAATATATATGTATATATACGATATACACAAGCCATATGTAAATATGTTTAAATAGGCATGCATAGTTTAGTTCAATTGAATGTGTTATTTATAACAATGGTAGTTTTTTTCTTTTAAAAACATAACTATTTATAATGCTCCATAAAAACAAAACAATAAATTACAGTGAAAGCAATGAAGATTATGTAGGTTTTGAACCAAACTAAATAACAGTAAACCTTTTTTTGATTTACGGAATTTTTTTATTTTGATGTTTTGAGCTATTTTGTGTTTAGAACAATATATACTAATTTTTAAAGTATCAAATTG